GAGACCTTCTTTCTATTAAACACCCCTTGGCTCCCAAGAGCTGTAAATTTGCTGGTGACAGTCCAGGCTGGCGTCCTTGGATGTATTACCATTCCAGACACTGTCAGGCTGCTTATTCCCCTTTCCTATTCTGTCACCTGCACAGTTTCTCCACACAGTGTCCTCGAAGAAAACAAAGCATCAGGCTCTTTCAGAAACCCTCAGCTTTCTTATTATAATTGACCAGCAGTACCTTTGAGTAAGTTCCCCCTCCCCCTCCCTCCCCTCACCCCACCCCCTCCTCCCCCACCTCCAACCTACCCCCCATCCCACCCACCCACCATTCCCCAGGCAGGGTAGGGCCCCCAACAGGGGCTCCACAAAGTCCACCAAAACTTCCTGTGCTGGGCCTAGGCCCCTCCCCATGTGTCCAGAGACAGAGCACATCCCTTCACGTGGGATGGGCTCTCAAAGTCCCCCCCAACACCAGGGAATAACGCCAGTCCCCCTCCGAAGGCTCCCCGGAGTGCAGGGACCTCCCCATTGGCATCCATGATCAGGGGGCTGGATCAGTCCTGCACTGGCCAAAACAAACCTATTATTGAGTTTGTGTGATTTATGCAATGCATCTAAAATGGAGTCTTGTATGGAAGGAAATTATAATAGAAAGAGGTGAATTTAAGTAGAGATGAATCAATTAAGGACTCAGTTAAAATTGTCTGAGAGGCAGTATTATGAAGAGGAGGTGTGACCTAGCTAGATCCATATTTATTAAGGCAGAGCAGTAAAAGTCAAGTCATTATTTCTCGTAGCTTCTGTTACATGTTAACTACCAGAGAGATGATCACAGTTCACAGAACTTCAACCTGTAAACACATAGAGTCATTTAAGGGTCCCTTTGTATCTATGCTTTACAACCACTATCATTCTCACTGCACCACCTCTTCCTCCTGTATTGTCATTTGTAAGTTTCAGGAATACACTCTTTACTTGTCATTCAATGCCAGTGAATGAGAATTTCCTCATGTAAATGTATTGTGTGGCTCCTGAAACATATCGTTGAAGAGTAGGGGCATTGCTGCATGAGCGAGCACTTACTTACATTCACAAGGTCCTGGGTCCTGGGTCCAGTCTCCAGTAGCACCAAAAGAAACAACAACAAAAAGAGAAATATATTTGAATGCAGTGTTTTAACATTTTTTAATGGAAATTGAGTGCTTGGGGGTTGTAGGACAGACCAAGCTAGCCCCAAACTCACAGAAACCTGCCTAGCTAGGCCTCCTAAATGCTGGGACTAAAGGCACGCACCAACACATTTTTAAAAAGATATATGCTTTTATTAATTCTTGAGAGTTTCATACAATCATAAAATATATTTTAAGCCCCCTGCTCCTCCCCACCTCCCTAAGTCCTCCAAGATCCACCCTCCCTTCCCAACTTTGTGCTTTTTTTTTTTTTTGAGACAGGGTTTCTCTGTGTAGCTTTGGAGCCTATCCTGGCACTCTCTCTGGAGACCAGGCTGGCCTCAAACTCACAGAGATCTGCCTGCCTCTGCCTCCCGAGTGTTGGGATTAAAGGCATGCGCCACCAACGCCCGGCCAACTTTGTGCTTTCTTGCTCTCTGTTTTAGAACCTACTGAGTCCAGTTTGTGCTGCCTGTGTGTAAATGGATGTGGGCCTTACACTGGAGCTTGGTCAACCTACTAGGGGGTCACACCCTTACAGAAAACCAGATCCCTTCCCCAGGAGCCATCAACTGTCAACAGCTCCTCAGCCAGGGGAGGCTTGTGACCCCCACCCCTCCATGCTGGAATATTGACTTGGCTTGATTTTGTCACAGCTGCTCTGTGTTTATGAGCACAGTGGTCCCGTCGTGTTCAGAGGACACTGTTTCTCTCAAGTTCTCCTCCAACCTCTGGCTATTAAATTCTACCCCCTCTTCTATGATGACACTTGAGCCTTAAGTGGAGGGAGTATGATACAGATGCCTCATTTAAACTGAGCTCTTTGTAGCCGCTCATTCTTCATTCTTCGCACTTTGACCAGCCACTACTGGCAAAACCAAATTCAAATGGATAGCAAGGTTGAAAGGGCAGTAAGTGAACTCTTAAAGTACCCTTGGCGTATGTCACTCCAGATGACTCATCAGGTAAAGGCAATTGCCACCAAACCTGATGAGTCAAGTTTGACCCCTGGATCCCTTATGGTTGAAGAAGAATTAATTCTTGCAAGCTGTGTTCTGACCCCCACATGTGCACAGGGGCATAAGCACTCCCCACATAATTAATGAATGTATAAATGTTAAAATTGCTTAATAAAAATGACCCCTTACTTTGATACATTAGCTGTTAGCACAGACCCAGCATTACCCTGACTGTGTTTATCTGTGGAATATGAGGGGATGCATTTCTAGATACTAGCACATGGCTTAGACATGGGAAGCAGGTTCAAACCTACCTCTACTATAGGCTGGTTTATGTTCCAGGGAAAATTGCCTCATGTACCATGTCCTGGTTGGTTTTGTCAACTTGACACATACCTAGACATATATAGGAAGAAGGTCTCTGAATTTAGAAAATGTTCCCTTAAGACTGGAATACAGGGAAATCTGTTGGGCATGTGCTTGATTAATAACTGAGGTGGGAGGGCCCAGCCCATTGTGGGCAGAGCCAATTCTGGGCAGATGGGTTGGAGTTGTATAGGAAAGCAGGCTGGGGGAGCCATAGAGAGCAAACTTGCTGCCAGTAAGCAGCATTCGTCCATGACCTCTGCTTCAGCGCCTGTCTTGAGTTCCTGTCCTGAGGTCCCTCAGTGATGGAATGTGACCTGAGATGTAATCTGTAAACAAACCATATCTTTCCTTTAGGATGAGATGTTTTATCACAGCAATAGAAGCCCTAAACAGTATACCCAATCTCTTCACCTGCCGGGTGAGAGAATAACAGTGCTTCCTACAGCAGTATGCCTGGCACCTGTAGTCTCTCAACAAGTGCTGCACCCATCTGTCTGCCTCCATGTCACACTCTTGTGTGGTAGATGTGGAGACTGCATCCAGGAGAACCCAGCTTGGTTGATGCAAATCCATTTTGTCCAATCTGAGAGATTCTTGCCCCTGAGAAGGGCCAGCCTGGTGTAGGGATAGAGAGACAATGTCTGAAGTGAGAGTTGTTCCAGCCCAGGTCTTCCTTTAGCAGCTCTGGGACTTACGTTACTTGACATCTCTGTACCTTAGTGCCCTCACTGTAAAGTGGAGACTGTGAGGATGCTTACTTTATTGGGATGTCAGGAGAAAAGTGACGGTCCTCAGGCTGTCATTCCATACAGCATTCACCTCAGACATGCCTACTGTATGTTACTGAAAGCTGTACATTAGATTTATTTTACAGGGACTGAAGAGATGGCTCAGCATGGAAGAGCCTGTCCTGCTCTTGCAGAGGCCCTGAGAATGGTTCTTAACAGCCAGTTCAGGTTTCTTACTGCTACCTGTGATCACCTCCAGCTGCTGGCCTCCACATAAGCCCCACACATGCACTACCCCCCACACATATATAAATACAAAAGTATTTTTAAAAGATCGAGTATAAAAATAGCAATGATGTCCCGAAGATAAATTAATATGTTGCCTTATGTATTATTGCTCAATTAATGTTACTTACTTTTATAAGAGTAGAAATCCTCATTAGATGGGTCTTTCAAAGTCCACTTTTCAGCCCTGAAAGTAAGAATCTCTCGAGAAAGTCTGTAGTGCCATATCCACAAGAATGAGTGAGGGTGAACACAGGGATGCTACCAATGGGTGTTACGATAAATCTTTCCACCAACAGCCGCCCAAGCCCTACCGCCACGTGGGTGGTCTCTGCCAGCTGCCTGAGTTCTGCCCACCGAGTTAGGGCCCCAGATAGTACACAGAGACTTCTATTATGTACAAATGCTGCTTGGCCAATGACTAGGATTTCTCATCTGCTAGCTCAGTCTTAATTATCATAAATCTATATATTTTATAAGACTTATCGGACGCCTTCCATTGGTGTCCTCCCTTGCCAGTGGATCACATCGTGAATCTGGAGGAAGAGAGGAGGGGAAAAGGGACCACTTCCTGCTTGTCTTTCCTTAAATATGAGTCCCCCTGCTATGTTACTTCCTGCCTGTATTACCACTTCTTTACTACATTTCCCAGAATCCTCCCACCTAACTTGCTGCATCATTGGCCAAACAGTACTTTATTCAACAATCAATAAGATGAACATACACAGAAGTACACTCCCCATCAGATGGGGAATAGCCTGAAGAGGCAGCATGGGACATGATCATGATTGCAATGTTGTAGTTTTGAGTGGGCACAGCAGGACTAAGAAAACCAAACCCAGGGCCTCCTGTCTGCAAGGCAGGTGTTCTGCAGCTAAGCTGAAACCCCAGCCCTTCAGCCATGTTCTAAGCAAGTCATCTCTCTCCCTAGCACTCCTGGGAGTATTACATTGCCCTCACTTCCTGAGATTGATGGGAACAAAGACCTCCACTCAAAATAGCAAGCACCAGAGCCTCAGATTAGCAAAGGCTGGGCTACTCTGACCTTGTGAAGTTGGGAAGCCCCCCAGATAAAATACAAGTGTTCTGAGGGAGTGCATGGGGCAGTTTTTTTTATAAGCCTGAACTCTAGGCTTTCATTTAAAATCAAGTAACCATGGAGGGAGATACAATCTTACATGTCACCTGTCACCTAATGTTTGTCTGTTTCTCAACAAAAATTCCACATGGCTTCATCTCTACATTTTATATCATTGTTTATTTTAAAGATTCTCAAGTTCATGACCTTGACACATGTGCAGGTCATCAGGCAAGCTTTACTGTTAATAATCTTCCACTCTGAACTTTCTAGGTTGAGTGCTGGGGTTCTTGTAGCCAATGTTAGGAGCTACTCAGTAATTGCCTGTCCATCTGTAGCTGGACATAAGGTGGTCTGAGGCACTTTGGAAAATGGATTATTATGTCTTCTTTCTCACTGTCTTGTATTGCATTCCCAGGTTGAAAGGATTGTGGACAAGAGGAAGAACAAGAAGGGGAAATGGGAATATCTTATCCGATGGAAAGGCTATGGCAGTACCGAGGACACGTGGGAGCCGGAGCATCACCTCCTGCACTGTGAAGAGTTTATTGATGAGTTCAACGGGCTGCATGTGTCCAAGGACAAGAGGGTGAAGTCAGGGAAGCAAGCTGGAGCCTCTAAGATCCTTCGTGATACCCGCAGCCCCCCAGTGGAGAGACTCTCCCACAGGCCTCTGGAGCCTGGGAAGAGCAAATCAACTTCCCACAAGAGGAAGCGCATCAACTCTCCCCTGTCTAGGCCCAAGAAGGGGTCTTCAGGAAAGGCCCCTGGAGCTCCAGACAGGGCTACTAAGACTGTGTCTTATAGGACTACTCCCAGTGGCTTGCAAATCATGCCCATGAAGAAGGCTCAGAACGGCTTGGAGAATGGAGACGCTGGCTCGGAGAAGGACGAGTCACACTTTGGAAATGGGTCCCATCAACCAGATTTGGATTTGAATGACCAGGTTGGGGAGCAGGATGCCAGTGATTGTGATGGGACCCACTCTGCGCTGGTGGAGAACGGAGTTGGTTTGTGACTTTTCTTTCTCTCTGGGTTGGTTTTGCCTGTAGCTATCAGTTTTGTTATTGTTGTTGTTTGAAATAGGATCTTCTGTAGCCCAGGTTGCCCTTAGACTCACTATTCTGGGAAGTCCTTTACCTCCCCATCTCCTGCCTCTACATCCTGAGTGTTGGGATTATAGGCCGGCACTGTTATATTCAGGCTTTGGTAGAGGTGGAACACAGGATCTTATGCATGCTAGGCAAGCACTCTACCAACCAAGCCACCTCTCTAGCCCCTTGGTCTGATTTTTCTCTCAACCCAGGAAAATACATAATGCCTCCCACCTCCTGTCTTTGACTCTTAGCTGCTTGTTAATACTGCCTTTGTCTCTCACATCAGGGCTGTATAAACTTGACCCATGCCTACGTGGATTATTAGATACCTTTGCATATGGGAATACCAAGACACAGATGCTCAAGTGGAGCCTATGATGGGTTACAAAGGCCATATCTACAGCCAGGCCTGTCATCCTAGCTGTGTGGGAGGCTGAGGCAGGAGGATTGCAAGTTTAAGGTCACTCTGGACTATAGGTTGAGTTCATGGCCATGGCCAGCCTGGGCCACTTGGCAAGATCCTGTTTTGTAAAGATGGCTGGGGGCATCCAACCCTCATGCTGCTAAATACAGAAAAAATACAGGTACACTGCAGGATACCCACAGCCATGGTCACCTCACCAGATCCACATCCCTGAGGACAGCTCAAGAATTCTCATATCTCAGGACACAGGAGTCATCCCCAGAGGGCTAGCACCTCCTCCTGCATCTCACTCTTAGCCTCTGCTTGTGGTTTTATAGTGCCCAGAGAGAGGGCCACCTGGGGGCTGCCCTTCCTTCCACCCTATTTACAGGTGAAGCTTGCCACACCAGCATATGATGGGAGATGCCTGCCCTTCTGTTGTCACTAACATAAGTGATGGGCTTCATTTCTGTATTATGTCCTGCTTCAGTGTAGTCAGGATGCTGTCACAAAATGCCTGAGACTGGCTCATAATGGAAACTTAATTCTCATGGTTCTAGTAACTGGGAAGTCCATGACAGAGCGGGCAACAGAATCAGGGCTGTTGAAGACTGTTCCTCATAGATGGAACATGACTTCTAGCTGTGTTCTTACTCGGTGGACAGGGCAGCACAACTCCTTGCATGTTTCTTTATTTAACTTCTTTATAAAGTCTCTATATTAATACCAGGTTTGCCTTGGACTCACACTGTTGCCCAGGCTGGCCTGGAGATTCTTTCATAATCCCATTCAGGATAGTAGAGTTCTCATTACTCCATCAGCTCACACAGGTTCTGTCTCTTGATACTGCTACATGGGAAATTAGGTTTCAAGCTATAACTCTCAGGGGAAGGGGAACATGTGTACCCAGACCGTAGGGGTCCGAAATGCAGTTACAACTCCACCCTGTGCCAACTCTCTTGCCTGCTCCTTTCTTCTCTGTCTGGGAAGCAGTGCAGACTGTGTGCGGTTCACATTAGATTGTGGACTTTCTTCCTCCCACAGTTCCTGGAAGTAGAATTAAAGGAGGAAGCTGTGACCTGGGTGACTCCAACTTCCCATCCAAGACTTCTTCAGTGGCCAGATTGCTTCTTAGCAGAGACCTCAGTGGCCTGTGTCTTTGGGCACACTGTGTGTTCTGGTTTCATGCCTCCTCTCTCAAACATATTTGTATATACCTGCAGGCAACATCCTCATCTTTGAGGATCAGAGCCCCAAGCCTCAGGGGCTTCAGGAAATACTTATCAGGCACACAGCAAACCATGTCCAATGTGCAGGGCCCTCAGATGCCCATGATGGAATGAGAGTATGTGTGAACAGGATGCTGGGATGCAGGTGGTACAGCTGGCTGGGTCATGAGGCAAGTACATGGCAGTGATGATGCTGAGTGTAGGTCTGGACCATTTCTGAGCACACTTCTCTGGAGAGAGCTTGCCGTCTGTGGGGGATCTTGAGCCATCACTTAGAGGTTCCTCCTGCCCCAGAGAGGAATTTCACCCTAACATGATTTATTTAGGCTTCTGCCCCAGCCTGACTTGTGTTTCCATCTGGGGATCCCTAGTGATGATGTGCTGTGCCTCTAGCATATGGAAGTGCTGTTTGTTTTAAACATTCATCTTTTGCGGGAGAAGTAGCTTGTGTAAATGAGGCTTGGCATAAACATCTGAGTTTGATGTTCCCTTGACAGCTGCCAGCAGTTGCAGAATCCCCTGTTGATACAGGAAGGGTGGCAATGGGAAGCCTCCTAGGCTCTCAGGCAGGGTACAGGCACAGGAGCCCTGGCAGGATCCCAGCAGCTGATCCACTGATACCCCTGCCAGAACTGCAGCTTCCCCAAGGAAGAGCATGGAGGAGGATGGTTTGCTACCTGACTGCCAGACAGCAGTGTGTCTCCCCTTGTGCTGCCTTCTACATTGGAGTGGAACCTAACTATGTACTCAGTGTTGAGCTAGTTTGAATGATGACCTGTTAATGGGTCCCAGCACTCCATCATCTGGGCACCTAGCATGGCTGACCTTCTGAAGTCTCTGGGAGTTTGCAGCTATTCTGGACCATCCTCCTCCTTGGTCTCTTGTCTTCCCGCCTTCCTCAGATAATGTGTATTCACACATCCAAGGGCCCCAGCTGGGATGGAGAGGAAGCAGCCGCCCACCTCTATTGTGTTTGTGGCTGTTCCAAACTTTTTTGCTTAATTACATCCTTTCGTGTTGGTGCCCACAAGCTCCCATGAGAATAAGGCTGTTGGTCTCATATTTCATGTGTGTAATGTCCCCTGGGTACCAGTGACAAATGTAGGCAGATCCCAGAGCATCTGATGTATTGAGTCTTGGATGGAGGCCAAGGGACCAGATCTTAACAGGTGCCTCAGTGACTTCTATGTTTCAGACTTTGTGCCGGGATGAGAGGGCGATGTTGTTTCTCATCAGGCACAAGTGCTCTTTTTTAATTCAATTCTTATTCTTGGAGCATCTGTTTAGGAACCTACTAGGTGCTAGAGTAGAGAGACACCTGAGGAATAAGGAATCATCCTTCATAACTTACAATCTACCTTCTGCTAAGCGGGTGGCCTCTGGCTGTTAGTCAAGTAGGTACCTGAAGCTGACTCCATAGGCAGAGTATGTGTAGGGCATGGAATGGCTTGACCATATTTACATACAAGTCTTGTGTAGTCACTAGTGTGAGAAATGCTCCCAGACACAATTATCCTTTTTGTTTGTTTGTTTTGTTTTGTTTTTCGAGACAGGGTTTCTCTGTCCTGGAACTAGCTCTTGTAGACCAGGCTACAACTCAGAGATCCGCCTGCCTCAGCATCCCGAGTGCTGGGATTAAAGGCGTGTGCCACCACTGTCCCGGCTCACAATCATCCTTTAACACTTTTATTATAACTAGCTTATTATCCAGGTCTGTCAGGAACTGAGGAAAGGGGAGACAGGATCCTTGCCAAAGAGAGTAGTGTGAGATTTGTAGACAAGACCACATACAGGAAGTGCTGTAGTTCTGGGACTTTCCCGCAAAGAGTTAGAGGTGTACTGAGACCAAACATGTCTCCATTCATGTTTCTGGCCAGAGGGAAGCTTTGATGGGGGCTACAACCACATGTACGTTGGGTACTGAGTGTTGCCCTTCTATGTCTTCCCTGACCAAAACCCCAGGTCTTAGCGCCCTAGTCAGTATACTGCAGCACCAGGGGGTCCCTGTCTGTACCTCATGGCAGTGCTTTGGGATGGAGTATTGGTTTTTATATGGCTCTTACTTCTCTGTTGACAAGTTCTGCTTAGAGAAAAGTAACTTATATAATATGCTTCCCATTGACTGCTGGCTTCTGTATGCTATAGGAACAAACCAAAACCAGGGCTTCAGTGGGTGGCACATTTTGGTTTCACACCACGCCTCTCCCTACTGAAGTATATGCTGTGGCTCAGTGCCCATCTCTATTCTGATTCTTCTCCTGTAGTGACAAATGGCTTTGTGGTCTAGGGACCATCTGCCTCAGTATCCCTTTGGGAGCTTGTTAGAATGAGCTCCGCCCCATCCAATGAATGGGGATGGGGGCAGGTGTGAGTCACTCCTGTCAAACGATGAGTTTTAATAGCTGAGTGTGGATGGCCGCCCCCACGGATATGTGTGGTTGTGAGCCATGGCTCATAGATCTTTCTCTGCTAGATCTGGAGCTGCTCTTTGAAATTTAAACTTGTAAGAGTGTGGTTTTATAAAGGTCTCTCCCTTGCCCGTGCACTTCCC